TGGGATGCATATCCAAGTAGGAACTGCTGAAATGTTGTCTTGTGTGGGGTCGAAATCATCATTCCACGGGAGAACCAGAATGTAATGCTCATCCAAGGACCATGGACCATTTAGAATGGCGGAGTAATAGTTCTCCTCGTTTGTTAGCCTTAAGATGTGGTAACCTTCTATAGTATCTACTGGTTTGACGTCACCTTTGGCTTTCCAGAGTCCTTTGAGTCTCCTGTAGAGGCGGTCGTGGTGCATCTCCATTCCCAAGGGTCTTATTGCTACACTGTAAGTCATGGCGATTGTCATTTGGCTTTGAACTCTTTCCGAAAATCTGTTTGATGGTTGCCCATCCTCTACTCCATACGTTACATCATCATCTTCAACAGTTACGGACTGCATGTGGAAGCCGTTTGTGAGCCGGTTTTGATGACCTTGAAGGAGTGTGTCTCGAAAGGATGGGGTGCCCTAAGCCAGATTGGGTTTTTTTTATTGGAGCTGGGTTGCTAGTATTAATTCAGCGTTTTGGCTTTCTTTGTTTCTTGCCGTTCTTGTGATAGGATTATCTTTGTTATAGTTGATTGGAAGTGTTTCGGTCATCTCGTGTCTATATTGGACCGGAGTTGTTGTTGAACGTTGGGAGATTGCAGAGCAGTTAGCTAGAGAGAGACAATCTTGATTTATTTTGAAAAAATAATTGAAGTTGGGCTGTCAATAAAAAGGCAGTCTAGCCCAACAACATTGAAGCCAATCTGCCAGTTCAGGAATGTAGTTGGGCTCCGGTTAATAGGCCTTAACCTCCATTGTAGCCCATATAAAACATTGGCAAATTAAAAGATTAAACTAATTTTCTTCTTTTTGGAGGGTATAGTATAAATTAATTATCAGTAAAATCCATTTAAAATCCCAATAACATAAGCTTAGGATGCCATAATAGTATTGCCAACCAAATTCGCAAAACACAAAGCGATTTCAATGTAATTTGTGTTGACCTGAAATCAAGACATCAGCAACTTCTTTGCAAGTCATTTCAATATACTCCTCAATTTTTCAGTTTCATTTTTTTAATGAAGCCAAGATTAAATGAAGTAATTAATTAATGGAATTAATTACACAGTTTGGACAATGTTTTGGAAAAGAACAAGTTGTGACATAATTTTCCACAACGGACACCTGATTTCAAGGGTTTGACGATTGACTTGTTTTTTTTTAACTAATAATTAAAAAAATGTCTTCTATGGGGATAATTAAACAATTAACTAAAGAAATGGGCAAAAATACGAAAGGAAGGTGGCCAACATCTCTTGGGGATTCTTGGATCTTGGTCTAAAATCATGTTACGCGGAACAAAGACTTGAACAAATATTATTAAACCATGAAATTTAGAGACTAAAAAAGGTCAAAGATTACTCAAAATACACTGTTGTCCTCGTAACGCATGTTTTGGATCTCACTTTGTAGATTAATTATTTAAGTTGAATTTCTTAAATTCAATGTGCCATCAATATTGCACACTTCGTAAGCTGCAAGTTGAATTTTTTAGTATCACATTCAGACACGTCCATATCCATGCGTAATCGTCTTTAATTTTTTTAATAAAAATAAGACGGACTAATGATATTTTCAGTGAATTCATTCGGAATATTAATCCCGTTAAATATATTCACCAAACAACATTGTCATTTTTTTGGCACTAAATCATGATTTTATTATGCTATGTGTTCTGTAGTTGTGGAATCTAGCAAAAGAAAACAATCGGTCCGGTCAAAAAAAAAAGAGTAGAATTAATGGAACTGTATGAATACACTTTCTTTTTTTAAAAAAAAAAAAAAAGAAATGAAATGAAGCGATAAACCAGTTAATTAAAGCGTAGGTTGTGTGAAATTTTTGCATGAGACGATTAATTTTGGGGGGAAATACTAATATATAAACAATACCACAAGTCATAGTAATAATTAAGTTTGCTTCGGGATCTAAAAAGAGAGAAATGTATCACATGACAAAGACAAAAGCATCATTACATATCTCCTTAGTATGAGTTGGATATATACTGGTATATCCATTGTTTAATTACCGAGCAAACTAATTCACGACAACACGAGGCAACTTGAGCAATTATGAACAATTTCGTAAGTATATTTTATTTGATTTATGAATAGTTGATAAGGTAATTAGAAGTAGTGGTTTCATCCATATTCCATTATATATATATATATATATATATATTTATTTATTTATTAACAAGAAGGGGATCCATAAGTTTTTTTTGGCAGCAATAATTCGACAATCCTCGAAGAAATGACCTTAGAACTCTTAGGTTTGTACTTCGAATACATGGTTGTGAGATTGATTATTACCCAAAGATTGCCATTTTTGCTTATAGTTTCTACAAGAACTTGGCTAATTTATTACGATAACAAGCTTGGTAGAACAATGATAGACTCCTTAATGCACGATCTCGTAGGCACTTGTTAATGTAGATACTAATTATTATTGTCTCTCGTAAAAATCTCGTCGCGACTCGGTTATTCTAATGATAGCTGTATTGGTTATACTGATCAGACGAACAATAAATCATTGCTTTGATAATAAGTTATTTTATCGCATTTGAGAAATTAAAAAAGTTTGCCCCCTCCGAAATTATACTTTTAAAAATAAATTGAACTTGGTAAAAAAGATAAAGAAAATAAAAAAAAAACACGTATCTTAGGAAAAACAAAGGAAAAACAAAATGAAAAGTGTTGAAGAAAAAAGATATGAGTTTGACAACATTGAATGATGATGGATTGATAATTAAGAACTAGGGATCAGAAAAGGGAAAAAAGAAAATGGAGATTTAAAAGCGGAAAGAAGGGAACGAGGGAGGAGGAGGTCCGAGCATCAAGACGGCGCAACCGCGGACGGAAAACGGGTTGACCGATGAAGGTCACCCTCACGTGAGTCCAGTTGTCGCTGTTTGGGATTTTATTGGGATTGTTGCCCTCATCTTTTACTACTACTTTGTCATATGTATTTCAGTATTTGTTCTGCATGTTCCAATCCCAACCTCCGCCAAAGCGTGCGCTTCTGTCTGAAACACACACCCTTTTTAGCTTTTCTGGCTATCTACTCTCATCCGTTATTATTGGGTAAAAATAAATTCTAGTATTTATTTCCTTTTTCTATTTTTTAAAAAATATATGAAACAACATCCACGGTAGTTGGAATAGAAGAATGTATTATTGTCAATGATCAACAACATTTCTGTTTTAACATGACTATTACTAGTTTTTTTTTTTTTAAGGAAATCATCAATATTAGTTAAAAGAACATATTGTTTTTACTTCTCTGAATATACATGGATTTTACTATCTTTTGGAATGAATATACATAGTTTAATGAATGGTGTAAAGGGTTACATCACAGTTTTTATTCACAGGACAATAACGCTATCCCTGAAAGTTTGAATCAATATTTGATTAGCCTACTTAGTTGTCTAAACTGTATAAGGTTATTCAAGTACAGGATACACATTAGTGGGTCAGAATATGATTATTATTATTATTATTTTGGTTATTTCTAAATATGATAGATATATGATCATTGATCAAACAAGCTAATCATCATATGTTGCAATGTTATCCCTTTTCTCTAAAGATGAAATGAAAAAGGATATGACTATTTTAAGGTTCTAGAACTAGAAGCTGCATACGACTTATATTGTAAATACCACCAAATATTTGGTCGCAAGTCCAATCATGTCCCACTTTAAACTAACAATTTTTAAACTGCAGATAAATGAACACAATAAAATACTACTATAAATCAATTTCAACTAAACATAACATACGGAATATTACGAAAGCGACCCTATGACAATATACCAAATACTCTATTAAAAAAAAAAGAAGCAAGAACGGCATGCAGATACAAACCTAAATTATGCAATTTTCAAGGGTCTTCATATAACATAAAAACTCTATATTTTAAAATTTGTATCTTTTTATTTTGGGACGAATGAAATAGAGTGTCAAGAAGAAATTGAGATTATGAGAAGGGTGGGTTGTTCATGGTGGTTTGACCGACAAGTTCTCACACTTGGATTAGAACATTGGAAGACATAACAATAACATTGTTGTTAGAGAGACCTTTATTTCAGGAGGGGGAATTGATTATAGAAGTAATGGGGGGTTTCGAATCCCGATTTGATTCATTTAAAGTGTATTTTTTTTTCCCAAATGTTACGGCAGCACTGTAGGAGTCTGACTTTATTGTTTTTGGTTGAGTTTCAGAAACATTAGACTTGGGATTAGAGCTTTGCCAGAACCCCCCCTCTTACTGTCTCACGTCACATCGTCTCGTTTCCAGCACTTTCACTTCTGTATGTTAATTCACCTTTTCTCTAGTTTGTTACTCAACCTCCATAGTTGTTTTCAATGTTTCAAAAAGAAAAAAAGCTTGTTTTTAGTGTGCATCTTTAACTAATGGAGGGATTCAGATGCTCAATTGAGTTCTGAAATGAGCCTATACGGAGCAATTGCTATGGCATTACTATTTGATCCCATTATTTCTATCAAGGATAATACTCTCTCCGTCCTAAAATTATTGTCCAATTTGTATTTTTATTTTTAATACAAATTAAACTAAATGCAAATATCCATACTGGACAACAATTTTGGGACGAAGGGAGTAAGTGATTTCTTCTCATGCACAAATGCTGTCCAACAAAGTTTTTTTTTTTTGGGCTCTTTTGAACCTTTTTAGATGGAATTTTTTTGTTTAAGTTGGACTGTGTATCTCTAAAATTCACACTTGTATAGGGTGGTTACAATATAAAACGTTGCCAATGTAGATTAGGAAATAAAAAATTGCGACTGCATTTTGCCTTTGCCATGTTGCATGGTTATTACATTTAGAATTTTATTGAGCCAAAAAAAGTACTAAAAATAAATCAAATCCAATTAATTAGACCGGATTATGAACAAAAGTCAGCGCCATTCTGTGAAGAATAAGAAAAACCTTGCACTGAAAGAGAGGACAAATTGCATGTTCAATTGCAAAGATTTTAGATAAACAATCCCATTTACAAAGTTCAAAAAGCATTGGAATTATATAGCTTAATAAAAAGAAAAGAAAAAAAAAAAGAACTAATACAAAGAGAAAAGCCAAGTGCCATGTCCATTGTCCGGTGTGAAGAGGCTTTTTTTATTCCATGGCTAAGATAAATATAAGGATCTTTTATACAACTTCCTTCTCTGTTTTGAATCTCCTCTTTGAGGGGTTTTTGGAAAAGGAAGTGGCATAAAACATCCATTTGCAGTTCTTAGTTTTTTGTTACTAGTAACTTCTAACCAAACTGATACAACAAAAATAAACATTAAGAATCGGAATAATGGCTGAATTTTCCAGTTCTCTGTTCTGCAAACAAAGATTCTCAATTCCTTCCTCTTTTTTTTCCCTCTAACGTCCAATGTTGTCACTGCCCGAGTCAGTCAGAATTGTAATCCTCCTTGCATTCTTCAGGAACTCACTGAAATAACAAAGGAAGCGGCAAAATTGTATTAATATAACAAACCAAATGGCTCAAACATAATGGAAAAACCTGTATAATTAAGAGAAATCACAAATGGATGCTATAATAATAATGTTATACCTGAATGGTTCATCTCCTGTGTGCTTGACGACGCCGGCTGGGTCCTGGTAAAGCACATTGCTCGGCATTTCTGATCGGTTAAGGCCAAAGATTTCAGCCAGCTTTTTGTAGAGCTCCTCATAAGTGCCGAAAACTGTTAGGTCTAGCGTCCGGCCAACATCTTCCGATTCCATGAACACCTTGCAATGACCGGTCTCCAATCCAAACTCGCTTTTCTGATCTTTGTACCATGGAGAACCTTCACCAGAAGAGTTCTCTTGCTGATCATTCTGAACAACTGCAGATCCTGAGCTGCCGGACACATTTGCAGTCTTCTCTTGTTTCTTAACTAATGGACTGTTTCCAATTGTCTCCCCAGAGGAGCACTGAGAAATCTGATGCTCGGTTAAAATTGGCTGACCAAACAAAGTGAACGCAGCCGGTTTTCTATGGACATCAGTCTTTGGTTCTTGTACAGAACTTCCCATGGTTAACACACAAGACATGTCGTCCTTGGATTCAGAATGCGCCGTGAAACTATTGGAGATTCTAGACGGTGGTGCAACAAGATCAAGCTGCTTAGGTTTGAGAGGGAAGAATCCTCCTTGCAGTTTGTCGAAATGCGGGTCTAAGGAAGTTAATCCGAAATGAGTATGCCTGGCTCCCTGTATGCCTGCTGTAATGTTGTCTGGTAAACAACACAAGGGGCTGCTTGGGCTTAAGGGGTTAGTAAGAAGTGATGACATGGAAAGTTGGCCAACAAAGGGATATTCTGGAGGTTGCGGAAGCCTCAACTTCTTTCTTGGTGGAGAAAATGGAGAAAGATGGATGGCTGGCATAGTTGACACCAGTTCCACCAACCATGGACTCACTCGCTTAACATTCTGAAGCAAATCTGGTTCATCCCAAGCAACCTAAATTTCGATTTTAACCAAGATAAGTTAGAACCAATCAGCAAACTAATTCAGCAGCTCTAAGAACCAATAGAGAAGAACAACAGCAATGAACCAATGACCAATTCTTGAAGAAACTTTGGACATCCTAATTCAGAGGTATAAGAAAACAGAATGGAAAAGAATACAAAAGATAATTCATAAACCCTTTTGACAGCAGCAAATCTAAACTCATACAAAAGAGCATGATTTAAATTCTATAACTTGGAATCTAGAAAACAAGAAAACGTTCCAATAAAAAGTTATGTACCTGGAGAAGGCGCCAAGGAGAATTAGGCCAACGGATGGGGTCATCAACTTGAACAGAGGAGATAGTTCCCATAAACCAGCTAATTCGGGATGAGTCCTCAGTCTCAAAAGGCATCTTGAATCTCATCCCAGAACACCACTGAGTACGCATTGCAGACTTGACAGAAGATGCCTTCACCACGAATTCCGGCGTGCTTGCCCGTGGATAGTAGATGACCTCAAATGGCTGTCCATTGGCAGCAAGATTTGCTGCTTCAATCACCGATTCAGCCCTTAAGTTACCCCTTCCTTTCATACCTAAATCACTGTTTCCGTTCCCGCACTTGCTAGCATTACTCCTCAAGAACCTGTTGTTTTCTTCTTCACCTAGAAGCCTTGGAAATCCACCATACATGGAGGAGGAATTGCAGCTTCCAGCTCCGGTGTTCCATCCCGTAGTTATTACCTCAGGTCCACCACCAATCCCTCTTTTAGCCCTTCTGATTCCAAGACAAAGATCCCCATTTTCAGCTCTCAGGAACACGATTGAATCACCAGCAACAAGCTTCTTCTGGTTCACAAAATTACTCCACCCGGTAGTCAAAAGATGACGCCTTGGCGTCCCCCTGTAAATATGCCTGAATTTCCAAATCTCCCCATGAACATCTTTGGCCAAAATTGTCTGAACAGGAGGCTCAGCTGAGTAATCCAACCTCGGAAATATAGTCTCAGCGCAATAACGAGGAACAGAGAAGCCTCCACCATTGTTGGCATCTGACTGAGTTAATGTCTTAGCAAAGGAATTGGGTTTGTCCTGACCTCCTCCATCTTTGTCCAAACCCAGAATCCCTCCATCATCATCATCATTATTGCTTTCATTTCCTCTCAATGGAATCAAACTTATCTTGGCATAGACCTCATCAGTCTCTGTATCAGCCATGTACTTGATGGATGAGATTCTGCACAGAATCAGTGGTGGGATTCTGGAAAAATTCCCAAAATCCACATTCTTCTGGGCGTGCTCGGCATGGCCTTGTGGAAAGTAGAAGACTTTGGAATTCACCGGTGGCATTTGGACCATCCCACCAGCACAGGCATGCCATAACTGATGGTCCAAGCATCTTTCCCCTTCATTCATGGGTCTGTTCAGAGGATTCATTACAGTAATCATTTTTTTTTTCCACCGATGCAAATCTTCTAATTCTCCAAAAACATAAAAGCAGGAACAAGGCTAATCCTTCTATGAATTCTTCTTCTTTCTCCTCTTCAATCGAACCTCTGTAAAAAGCTAGCAAATTTTAGAACACAGCAGTAAACCAAGAAAGACCTCCTTAATCAACCAACTTTCTACACAAAAACTATATAGAAATTTTCTTCTTGACAACCCATTAACCAAATGAAACATACAGATTGCACCCTTGACTGAAACAATTATGAGAGACCGTAATATAGACCCAAAAGGGGACTTTTTTTCTGAATTCACTTTTAATTTACCAAGATGTAAGCTTTCTGAGACAGTGATGTACCATTCTATCTTATAGCTCTCTTCACGGGCTCTTAAGAAAAGAAAATGAAAAGGGTGGCCAAAAGTCCAAAACTGAATTCACAAAATTTCTGTTGATTCTATTCACGTAGGCAGCAGGAAACTGATAAAAAGTGAAATCCTGCAGTGAGTGAAAAAAGAGGTAGTAATGTAGGAGAGTGGAGAAGTGGAGTAAAAAAAAAAGGAGAAAAGAAAAGTGGAGGTTGTGGAATTGTGGGTGGATTGAGTGAGTTGTGAGGGGATTTTAAGCAAAAAAATGATGGAAGAGAAAGACCAGTGGGAATGTTGATGGGGACAGACAGTGACAAGAGACACATAAACACACACACACACACACTAGTTGATGAGCGACTGAGACTCAACGCCCACACACACACTCACACACTACACACACTCACCTGAAGCATCGTTGCCGACCAGTGCAGAATGGTAGAAAGAGAGAATTCAATTTTTGACAAATGACTGGTTTACACTCCCAACTATTAATAACAAAAAAAAGTTTGATAGAATTACAACTCCTCCTATTTGCACATTACAATACTTTTTTGTAGTTAATTGGAGAAAGTGATCCTCCGAGTTTCGGTCATGACGAAAATCCATCCATCACTTTATGTACGTTAAAATTTTAAACCACTCTCTAAATCAGGTCCTTATGTTTCTCACCAAAACCTCATCTCCTAATTGTAATCAAATCATAGAAATGATTAAAAATGTTGAATGCTCAGAAAGTATGGGAGTATTATTCAGTTTTTTCATAATTGCATAAGATTTTACTGGATAATTTTTTTTTAATATTGGACAATTTAAGAGTTACTAACTCGGTGAATCTTTGAAATTTTTGGATGTTTTAAGAGCAAATAATTGAAATTTATGTTTTTTCTATAACAGACAAAAAAATGCGATTTCAACCTACCTCAACTTTTAATGGACGATTTTGTCAATTATATTTTTTACATAATATATTCAAGTTATATTTGTCCGCCATTTAACTTTTTCAATTTTCGGTAACTAATGAACAATTTGGTTTGTCATTTACGAAATGACCTTTTAGCAAATATTTTTTTCTAAACCTAATAAAACGTCATTAATTCACATTAATATGAAATGTCCCTCAGAGGAACGCTTTTTATGTTAACTTGATTCAGTAATTAATTATGATTTATGAGAAATAATTGAGAATTTTTTTTTTAACTTCACCATTTAGGCACGTCACTACATTATTTCTCAAAAGTTATTTTTATAAATGAGAACATTTATCATCATTTTTATGATTCGATTAGGAGTTACCAACTCGGCGAATCTTTGAAATTTTTGGATGTTTTAAGAGCAAATAATTGAAATTTATGTTTTTTCTATAACAGACAAAAAATGCGATTTCTAACCTACGCTGACTTCTGATGGACGATTTTGTCAATTATTTTTTTTACATTATACATTCAAACTATATTTATCTACCATTTATTCATTTTTCAGTAACTAACCAACAATTTAGTTTGTCAGTTATGAAATGACCTTTCAACAGAGACTTTTTTCCTAAACTTAATAAAATTTCGTTAATTCACATTAATATAAAATGTCCCTAAGAGGAACGCTTTTTATGTTTACTTGATTTAGTGATTAATTGCGATTTATGAGAAATAATTGAGAATTTTTGAATTTATAAAAATAACTTTTGAGAAATATTGTAGTAACGTGCCTAGTGCAGTTAATAGTCAAAATTATTAGATAAAAATGTCCACTAATGCTTAAAATTATTTGTAGTCATTTACTAGGTGTCGATAGGACCACGCCAATTTTCTGCAAAATGTTTTGGTTAGTTGCTATGGCTAAGATATGTGGAGGTGGAATGTCGTTCAAGTTGATCTTTCTAGGGCTATTTTGCAGAATAAGGTAACATAGGAAGAGCTTTTTTGCAATTATCTCGATTCATTTTCAGGACACCTTTTAGTATCGATTATACACCTTATTATTCGGAATCTTGTTCATAAGAAGTTAGGATAAGCAATGATTCCGAGCTGCCCTTACGCATTATTTTTTTTTTCTTTTTTCTTTTTCCTTTGAAGGGATATTCTCTTTACTCATTCATGCTTACTGTTTAATAATTCTCTGTTCAGTTGCTAAATACAAAAGGTTCTTAATTAAAGGATGAAATAAAGATATCTTCTTCCGATTTATGAACATTTCTTCTGCTTTCTCTACACCATTTATATGTAACAGAGCCGAGACATTGTTGAATATAAAGAGTAAGAGTTCTATTTGTTAGTGTAAAATTTGATTGTTTGTTTTACTTCCTCCGTCCCATAATTATTGTCCAATTTGAATTTTCAAATCTAGTTCAAATTGTACTAAAAGTGAAATCTCAAATTGGACAATAATTATGGGAAGAGGGAGTATTATTAACTCTCTCATCCCAACATACTTTTTTACATTTCCAATATACTTTTTTACATTCCTAATACAAAAAACACCTAAAAACGCAAAAAAAAACGAGACAAACACAAGTTTGAAGTTATAGAGATATAGATTAGAACCAAAAGTCAATTCTAGGCCAAAGTGATTTGTCATGTTTTTCCGTCTTTATGGGAATAAAAGTTTGTTATTTTCATGACATAATAAAGATATTAGGATTAAAAAAAAAAAGTTATAGAAAAGAAAAACAAAATGTTGACGCTTGAGAATCGAGATAGCGGCCAAGTGCGGTGGCGGTGGGGCTACTTTGTCAAAAAAGAACAAAATAGGGCTTTTGGAGTATGGACGTAACGAAATGCTTATTTTATGTCCTAAAGGAATGAATGGCAAATTTAAAAATAATCCAGTATGAAAATTTTTAACTTTTTACTATTGACGTTACATGAAGTTGCTCAATAAAGAAGTTAAAGAAATGAGAAGTATCTTCCGTAATAAAATGAGTATTTAGTTTAGCTCTAATTTTAGTTTTACTATAAATTATATTAAAAATAAAATTTAAACTAAAATAATTATTTTGAGATAAAAAAACGTATTACTTCTATCTTTAATCTACATTGAGTTTTGAAATTGATATTATATATACTACAAATTTGAAAAGTCACTATGAATTTTTTTTTGACACGGAATAATAAATAATAGTTCGCCTTTTGAAATGCAGACTTTCGATTCTAAGAAAAATAACCCACTTTTACATAACAAAAAGAGAGGTACTTAATATCAAATGCAAACATACTTTTATTATGTGTAGCATTTGGACTCCTCCAATTGTATAAATTTTGAGATAATTAACCATGTACGTGGAGGTACTATAATATATCTGGCTAACTTCCAAATCAAAATGAGAGTCACATTTGACAGTAAAATGAAATTAAAATCAGTAAACCAATTAAACAATTTGGAGCCTACAGACAGCTGACCGAAAACATAAAAAGAAAGACTTCAATAATTCGTTAAATAAGTTAATAAAATAAAATTTTGTCACCATTGCCTCTCAAAATAGGAAAGAGATTGAGTAACTCCCTTTTGTCATTTGACATTGTGATACAAAAAATGGGAGATAAAAGCAAAGAAATATCAATAGTTTCGGACAAGGATTTTGAAGTGACAATTTGGTTAAAGCAAAAATAATAAACACAAGAATAATGACATAAGTAAGAGGTTAAAGATTAAACCAAACTAATCCGGCCATTGATTTTGACTTTTAAATCAGCAAACAAAATATATGTTCAACTTTAAGGTAACAACACAAAAAGTTTCATAACTTGGAGCAACCAAATACCTCAATTTTTTTAATTTTTTTTTATTTGTAATTAATTGTTTGTTCACTTGAAAAGGTTGAGGTGTAAAGAGATGGTTGGGTTGTCGTGTTTACACGAATTACATGTTGAAATAATTTAATTAAGCTGGCTTTCAAGTTTCAACATTAAGCAATTGTTTTCGTAGTTTTAAATTTGATTAAACGGCATTTATTTAGATTCCCGATTACGTTAAGTACAAGACTACAAACGTTTGAAGGTTCAGTTCGTTCAGACTTAATATTTCTCCCGTCTTCAAACGATTGAATATTTTAGACAGAGATAATATATGTATCCGTGAGGTGAGCAAAACCCAATGTTTGTTTTGATAGTTAGCTTAAAGAAATGGTCAAATATGTAACCACCAACAAAATGGTTAAGTGCTAACAAATTTTGCATTTGCATCATCATGTGGTTTTCAATCTGATAAAATATTGATAACAATAGACAACAAACCATTCGACATAGAAAATTAAAGAAGAAAATCTCTTAGACTCAAATTATAATATACAGTCCCTAAAACTTAGTACTTAATTGGGTTCAATTAGTCATTTTAGTATATACCGGGAAAAAAAATATTGAAATAAAAAAACTTTGTACTTAAATGGGTTCAATATATCATTTTAGAAAAAGTTTTTTATTTAGTGAAACTTGATTGGGTTAATGTCAAAATTTGTAACATAAGGGTTACAATTGCCGTCGTTGATTTTATATTACTTGTTATGAAAATTTTGCCTTTCGAAATATATCTATTCGGCTCGAATTTAGATTAATCGGAACAGTGATTTTGGATACTGGGTGCGTTCTATGAATTATAGGATAAAACGAGACTAAGAATCATAAAAAGTCTTTAATGTTGCAATTTTATTTGAATTTAGTTTGTTCTTAGTGATAACGCGTCTTTTAACAAAAGTACTTGATTTTGGCTCGTTGATCTTGATTGGCACAGTAGTTTGAATGTGAGGATTACTTAATTTCAATATCTATAACGAAGATGGAAGACCAAATTAGATTGGAACAACAAATAAAAAGGCAATTGTAGGTGATTTATCCAAATCTCACATAACTTGGCTGAAGTAGATTTGGCATTATAGAATTAAATGGAGTAGGTAGTTCTTACTTATCAATGTCTCTTAATCCCATTAAATAATCACTACTATTGTGCGTTGTCTAAAACGCAAAACAATGGTTTTGGTGGTCAATTTTCAAGAACATGTAGTCCCTCCAACAAATTAATCAATGCACCATTCACAACATTATTGTTTATAAAACGTGAACACAAAAACTTTTTCAATATATATATATATGGATCTATCTTTTTCCCCCATTTTAATTTTTGCAGTTGATATTGCGATATCAATGCCCTCTTTGACATGTTCATGTTCATTTGCACACTCAAAGTTTAGTGTTTTTTTTTTTTTTTTTTTTTGATATTGACGCGGCAGGCAAAATTTGGGTTTGGACCTCCATCATTAAAATACCTAGCTAACACCAAATTAATTGGATGGAATTGAAGTCTGAATTCTTTTTCGGTCTTGCAAAATAGCAAACAGTACATCAAAGTGAAATATATTTTTTTTAAAAAAAAAAAACAGAAAGAGTGCTTTCATTCTTTTTAAATAAACATTGAGGCAGGTGTTTGAATTATCAGTTCCATCCCTAAGTAATTGCGCCTCAGAAAGCAAAGCTAATATAATGTTCGAATTAGTTTCTTTTCTTCAATATTTGAACGGTGTTTGAACTAGTTTAACTATGATAATGATTTCAACCCACGTATAAGCATGTATCAGTGATTGAGATTTTTTTTTTTAAAAAAAAAAAAAACTATATGACTCGAATGGAAATTAGTCCGATTACATTACATACTCACTTATAAATATGTTACGATTTATGAGCTAAGAAAACTATTGATCCCTTCTCCTGGTGGGATCCATTAGCTGTAATTGAGCCACTTTCAGTTCATTTTTACATATTTTTATATTCTCTTCGTCTCATATTAATAATTTATTTTTATTACCATTAATATTGAATGGAGAGAGTACTTCCTCAATTTCACTAGGGTTTTCTCAAAAAATGTTTTCTCAATCTCTACACATCAAACTCGTACAATATATATATATATATATATATATATATGTAAAATTGCATGATCAGTTGGTGTACAGAAAATTAATTAAACGTGCTCCTCATTAGAAATTGTCCAATTGTTTATTTGACATGTTAACAAAACGTAGTAATTGTACATAATCTTATGCATGTGGTTGCTTCTTCTGTTTTTCCAAGTAACTAACGAAAACCATGGATAAACTTATCAAAACATTTAGAAAAATTAATCTATCAAGAAACGCTGAAAGAAACCATCCAACCAAGTGCATTTTATTTTGTCTCGTCATTTAATAGCTCGGAAGACATTGAATCAACAAACGGATTAGGATCAAAGACAACGATATGAAAGGGAATTATTTAAAAACAAATAGAAAAATATGTAGAAAGCCAACATATATTTTCGTCTTTCCATAATAATAGTTCTATTTGTTATGATTTTACAACAAACATGTCATTTTGAAATGTAACGAGTAGGTCAAAATCTTATCCCTTTTTGTAGTTTCTTTCCAACCATTCAATTTTGAGCTTTTGTTTTGGCCATTTGAGACCCCATATATATATGAATATGTGAGTGATTAGTTAATAATAATATAACAATCGTGAAAAACTAGTATTAGTCACTTTCTGAACCCATAGTTTGTTTACTTCCAAAACAACATCCAAAAAGAAAAATAAAAACGGAACAGATAACACTTAATATCAGTCGATTCTCCCTACATATCTCTGTATGGTCGATAGAGAGAGTACAATATGGGGAATTAATTAATTATATTTCATCCACATTATTACTTCACAAAATATTTTAATCTTGAATTGCATATATATAATTATGCATAATTATGGTATTCTCTTGGTAAAATAACATGCAAGATAATGACAAAATTACAAAGAAAACAAAGAAGTTTGTTTTACATGAGGAGAAGAAGAAGAAAGGCAGAATTGGTGATTCCAATGATGGAAGATCATGCGGTACACTTTGAACACGAACTTGCAAAAATGTTTGATTAGTGGCAAAATGAGTAAAATCTACAGCCTTGAAATTAATGAGCAAAAATCATCAATTAATAATTGTTCAAGCAAAATTCTTAATGCCCAAGAATACTTAAAAACGCTAACAACTTATAGGAGTGTTGCATTTGACAAAGTGTTCTATTTGTTGGAAAATTTTATTTCACCCATCCCATAAAAATAAATTCAATTTATTGAATTAAAACAATAAAAGAAAGTATGCTAATTTTTTTAGGACAAGAGAGTATAAACCATAGCATGTAAGGTTTTTATTTCATTTTTGAGTTGTCAAAATGTATCCAAAGTGTCATATACAGGGATATACATACATGATGGGAAGAAGAAGCAGGAAAAAAAACAGACAGCTAAAATACAAATTTATGCTTTGAACACTACGTGGTTTAAGACCACGGGACAATCGTATCGTAGACTATATATGTCTTCCAACTTCAAAGAAAATAATAATAGAGACCGCCAAAAAAATTAATGATTGTACCCTCTATTGGACCTCTTTCTGGAATTTACTTTGAATTGAACAAAGAAAATTGTACCTCCATTAATTGGATCTCTCTCTCACTCTCTTTATTACTTTGAAGATTATATCATATCAATAATTCAAAATGTTATCTGTTTTAACAGTAAAGTTTTGTACATTCGGTTCTTCCCAAATGTGATAATCCGTTGCTGCCATTACCAGGAAGGTATATGTATAATCTGTTATTGAAGTTAGATTGGTATAGTATGTAATAAGTCGATGTAATAGAGATTTTGGTTATAAAGTAGAATTTCGATGTTATTGTTAATACATGTTTACATTTTTACTAGAAAACAAGAAAACGGTGAAAATATTATTTATCCTGCTTTCAGAATTAAAAAAAAATAATAATAAAAAAGCGTCCTAACCAATACATACAACAGCCATTGGCACTAAAATTAGACAACATGGGGGTGTCGGTTTAGGAAGGATTGAATCATATGATTTTTCATTGAGTATTTCTTTGAAGAATTGAAATGAATGAATTGTAACTTGAAAGATATGTTGTCAAACGAAAAGATGAATGCAAAATGGGCCCAATTTTCCAATGCCATTGGACCACGATTCTTCTCTACTTCTGGTAAGACCGACAAGCGCATTTGGCAACATTTGTAACTGAATGATTCAAATAAGGAATCTTCCCAATCGGTTCTTTATTAAGGTGGCCCATATTGGAATATTGGTGTACTAATCACCAACTCCCTTATCCTTAAACTGTCGGCCCTTCTTCTTCTCCCACAAATTTTAACCTCTAAACTAATCAGCTTTACTAGTTGTGCAATGTGGTAAATACTCTCTCTACCCTAAAATTATTTTCCAATTTAAATTTTTACTCTTAATTCAATTATACTAAAATTAAAAACTCAAACTGGATAATAATTTTGGAATAGAAGAAGTACATTATTAATGCCGATTGACACTGTTACAAATATTGAACATCTTTATCATTTGTGAAAGAAGAGTTCTTACCGCATCGAAAATTGTGATGATTTCCTGATATTAACGATGACCAAAATTCTTTAGTCCAGTAGTTTTAGTTATTTATGCTAAGCCCAAAACCATGCAAGATTCGAGAAATATGAATATTATTGTGGTCTTCAAAATCTGTATTCAACATTTTCGTCGTAGTATATTATTAGTCCACATTCCCGGCCCAAGAAAATGACAAATTGCACTTATAGGATAGGAAGTGAGATTAGCACTTTTTTGTTGGACCGAAAAAATCATATTTACCATTTTTTTTTTTTGGCACAATGAAGAAGGCCAAAGTCTAAATACTGTTCACAATCCTCCAGTAATGACTGCAATTTCACAATCCTATTTTTGCGCAATTTCACCATTAATGATTTAATACTACTTCATAAAATTCTAAAAGATGTGTGGATGGTACATAACTGCGAAATCGGTATAAATAATTTAGAGTTACAAGCATCATCAGTTCATCACTACTGACAGTAAGGGCAGGACATATGTAACGCATGAAACCTTAATCGATATTGGAAGACCTGAATTCCAAATCAAAGTGAAGAATCATAAGGGTTGGCCATCAAGCAGAGATGGGTTTTCCTTGATGCGGCTAATCCAGTGGTCTCACTCATGTCCAAATCATTTGGATTGAGGCCATGAGGGAGCTCCCAGTCGAAATGATAGAGCAAAAGAGCTAAAGGAAGCTCAATGTTAGCCACACCAAATGATATTCCGGGGCACATTCTTCTCCCCGCACCAAATGGTATATATTCGTAATGAGTTCCACTATAATCGACGGAACCGTTTTCGAATCTGTCTGGATCGAAACATTCTGGATTTTTCCAGTATTCGGGATCTCTTCCAATTGCCCAGGCATTAACCAAGACTCTCGTTTTAGTCGTGATGATGTATCCGTCGACTTCACACTCCTCTCGGCATTCTCTAGGCACCAACAGTGGACCTGGAGGATGTAACCTTAAAGTTTCTTTGATCACTAATTTTAAATATCTTAATTTACAAAGATCATCTTCGTCTACGGTTTGTTTTCCATGAAGTTCTCTCCTTATTTCGTCACGTGCCCTCGCCATCACTTTTGGATTCCTAATCATCTCGGAAAGTGCCCATTCCACGATGGAGGATGAAGTTTCGGTTCCCGCTGAGAACATATCCTGCATGATTTGACAAACCATTTTGATTAGTAACACATTAATAATTCCATAATAAACTTTGTAATACAATAAAGTTGACTATTTTTCTGGGATGGACGTAGTATACAGAAAACTGCTTACTATCAGAACAGCTTTCACATGGTCATTGTTAATGGGAATTTGAAGGCTCCCGCTTTCTTTAACCCTTAGTAGAACATCAACGAGATCTTCCTCGCTACACTCCGACATTCCCTTTTGCGTGGCGGTCCTGTTTTCGACATGCTCATCGATTATGCTGTCGAAAATCCCATCGATTTTCTTGTGCACATCCACAAACTGTTTCCTCATCCAGCTGAAGGGATGGAGAAACTTGTAGGACGGAAACAGATCCGAAATGTCAAAGGAAGTCACAAGAGGTAAAGCTTCTTTTAGTACTTCTAAGAAAGTGTCTTTATGATGCCTGCTTGTTTTCCCAAAAGCCGCCCTGAAAACCATCGAACTCGAATACGTCCCTAAGATCGCGGTCAGGTTCACTGGAGCTCCGGTTCCCGCGAGTTCGTGTACCGATGAAACGACATTCGAGGCCTCGTCGAGCCGGATGGACCGGAATGACCTTACCTTTTCGGCACTGAGTAGTTCCTGAGTGCATATTTTACGCATCTGTCTCCAGAACTCGCCGTACGGGGAGCTCGCAATGTCTGCCCCGTTGTAGCAAACGATCTTGGTCGCTAATAGTGCCGCACGATCCGCGAACGCTAGATCGTGAGTTCTGAGGATCTGTTTTGCAAGACGGGGAGATGAAATTACAATGGCTGAGATTTCACCAAGCTTAACGTGCATTAGGTCTCCATGTTTCTGAGCTAATTTGGCTAAGGCGCGGTGAGGTGGGGAGCCTAATAAATGATGGATGTGTCCCAATATGGGCAGCTTCCATGGTGTTGGTGGTAGTTTCTTCTTCTTGTTCTTAATGTTGATTTGCTTGGATTTGGTCCTCATCCAGTATTCCATGACTAATGAGGCGGAAGAAATGATGTATAGCATAAGAAAGAAGGAACTGAGATTGAAGGCAAAGTCCATCATCTTGTTGATATTTAGATTTCTGTCTGATTCCTTTGGAGCTTCAAATATATAGTATATACATACAAGTAACTAGGCAGGATATATATAATAAGAAATCATGGGCCCATGATGAATTAAACATCTGAAAAAACTTTAAAAAACGTTGAGAGAAAGAAACCCTGCGACCAAGGGCATGTTGATTTGTCACGCCGATCAGTACTAAATATTGCAGGGTAACACGAGGAAAGTATGTAAAAAAAGACTTAAAATCAACAGATGGACGACTATGATCAAAGACAATGATACAACGATATGAGAATGAAGACCTAAAAAGAACACGTTACAACCTAACTACACTCATGTCGATTAATCTCATCATTTTATTGTATTCCCTTGTTGACAAAGTAACTGTTATATTTGTTGTACTATATTGATATAACAAACATGACGAAAATTTTATTTTGAGATAAAGAGTGACACATTCCCGGCCAGTCAATTAATTTAAAGTTTGGTTTTGGCTAGAGACCCCATGTGGCCATATATGTAACTCATGGAGTAGCCTCTTTCGTTTTGGTTAGAACTACAAACGTTGATGGGAAAAAAAAAAAAAAAAGAAACAATACAACAGAGATACGGACTGTTTGGTTTAAAGTTTTTCCAAGATCTTAAAGTACGTGAGTAGTTCTATGCCTAGGTTTTGCATTATGAAGCATAATACAATACACCATCCATTGCCGACTCATAATTGATTAATCATATTGTATAATCATGTATTTAGGTTAGTAGCTAACTAGTAGTTTCATGAGACCTCAAATTCCCATGTTTCAGTTTTTATTATGCCACAGGTACGGTAGGTGAGGAGTAGAGTCCTTCCATATTTTTCATGTTTTTTTTTTCCAGTGATTTTTTTCTAAGGGAAAATACAAGTTTAAGATCTGTATAAACGTGTTCGAGTTTCCACTGGCAGTCAGCGACCATGACAGACTATACATTTGTATCTTCTAACTTTCAAAGACGAATAATATAATAGAGACCACACAAAAAAAAACATATTTACTCCCAGGAAAAGAAAAATCTTTTTGTTAGAGTATTAACTTCACTAACTGGTTGTTGTGTCCACGCTGGTTAGGGATATAATCAATATGATGATAATAATCAAACGTTGCTATTGTGTACTAATTCACCCTCAACCTCAACATCGTTCCATTTTTATCCCGAATTCTTCTATATATGTGTGTGTGTGTGTGTGTTTGGGTGTGTGTGCCTTCAGTCCGGTCGGCTGATATTGGTTTTCTGCAGTCTGATATTGGTTTCTCAAAGATTTTCTTTTGCGAATCTTAGATGGATGATTACATTTCCCCACGAACAAAACAGTGCATTTTGTTTAAGCTGACTTTCTTGTCGACTTTACAAACTAGATGAGAACTTCGACACTAACAATTTAACCTCGAAAAGAAATATTTTATGAGTTTTACATCCAGAGTCCAGACTGATAGATTAATTAATTAATTACTGAACAATATTACCATCCAAAAATTTTGAAAATGGTACAAACTGATTGATTTTTTCGTTGACTTTTTCGTCGAATTTACAAAGTAGACAAAATAGTCGACGTAAACAATTTAACCCAAAAAAAAAAGCATTTTGTATAGTCTACATTATTGATACCAATAAATCAATCAAACATTTTGTTAGTATAATTTTCAGGCAACAGTCTCCTTTATTATAAAAAAAACACTAATCAATCAATCAATTACAAAGAAATAATACGATGAATAGATTGTGAAAATGATTTTAAAAGGGGCGTTTGGCCTTTGCCAACCTCCTTCACAGGTCTGAAAAGTAGACGTAAAAGTCTGCATTAAGAGCTTAATCGAAAAATAAATGATTTTGTGATTTTCAGCTTGCTTTCACTACATTAGCTACTAGCTAGTATCAAACAATAATACTATTAAAAAAATCATAAAATAATAAAAAATAATGGATTTTGACCATTGTTACCTTTCTCACCGACTTTGCTAAGAAGATAGAAAAACAAACACGAAAATTTTCTACTAAGAAAGATAAACATTTTGTACTATTTAAAACAACTAATATCTCAAAGCAAAAATAGAAACTAGAAAACTCAATGGTTATATCGTTAAATAGATTTTTCTATCGCATCTAATTTTTAACTGAGTTATATAAAAGGATGAATATTGAAAAAATTTAGTCAAGGTTGGTTCATGTTGACTTTCACATTGTTTGAGGAATGTCGATATAGTAATTTCTCATTCTGCCATTTAAAAAATAATTAAAATGAATACAAAAAGAATGGATTTTAACCTTCGCAACTTTCTCGTAGGCTTGCAAAATAAGCCATTAAAAAATGTGAAAATGATACAAAAGATAGGATTTTGGATTTTTGCCGACTTTTTTATTAGTTTTGAAAGTAGACGAAAGTCTACATGGACAATCTAACCAAAAAGTAATTTTACTTTGAACAAATACATTAATTATTTACCGAACAATAATACCATAAAAATTTTTGTGAAAATGATAAAAGTAATAGAATTTGGCCATTGTTGAATTTTTTGTCGACTTTACAGATGCGACAAAAAAAGTTGGCATAAAATTTCTTCCTTTTCCCCACTTGAAACATAAATATTTTGCGATGTTAATAAAGGTATAGTAGAAATTAGAAAGTTCAACGGTAATATTGTTCAATAGATTTTTCGATGATGTCTAGTTTCTAGTCGGATTATAAAAACCGATGAAGAAGCAAAAATTAGAGCATACACTATCTTGCTCAATCTATGTCAATCTTTACATGGTTTGCATAATGTCGATACAATAATTTACAATTCTTCAGTCACAAAACTATTGAAAATAATACGAAATGAGTAATAGATTTTAGAAACAATGGTGATCGTCGACTTTCTTGTCTACTTTCTTGACTAATTAATAAAACAACACTGGGATACTACATGCTACACTTAGGGTAATATAGCACTTTCTGGCCGCTTGTAAGACTAACGACGTTTGCAACACTCTACTTCAACTTCTCTCTGATGTTTTAAATACACATATCATTCTCCCTGGTGGAAAACAGAGAAAATAGATGGACAAAACTTAAAAGCGTTTTGTTTTCTCTTGATAAGTTCATAAATACAGGAATGCCAGCAGTAGAAAAGTGACAATTCGCAGCAGTACTAAAACTCTAAATCTATCATCCATGTTAAAAACCTATGTCAGTAGGCTGTCTTTCTTTACTGTCTGTTTTACTCATTCCGAGGGTCTGCTAGACAGCCTGAAACTCTTTACTGCAAAAAAAATTGACTTCACAAGTTTAACAGTTGTTGTTGTACTACCAAACTTGAAAGTCAGGACACTCAAAAAAAATCCATCAATTTTTTCAGACACTGAAACAGTTGATAAATCCATTCCATGGCAGAAAGTAGCAGAAATTTGCAGGTACTGCTGTTGCTTTCTGCAAAAGATGCCCCAGTCTACTACTACAATTTAATTGGTGTTGCTGGTCCCTTTGTCCCCATTCAAACCACTTCAGCTGCAGTACTAATGGCATCTGCTCCAATGTTATTATTATTCCATTTTCTGCCAATGTTTTGCATTGGATGTGGATATTAATCCTAAAAGATGAAAGTAACATAATGTTATGCGTACAACAAACAACCCGTGCTCGTTTATATATTATACAACAAGTTCATATCGATGTGACGAATTTCTGCAGTTTGTTTGGTCCCAAATGACAAAGTTGTGAAGAGACTTTTGGTAGCATCCGATGTTAATGTGGAAACTGGAAAGGATTAGTGAATACGGTACTAGAATATTGCCATTTTTCACTCATTAAAGTTGCAGCTAAGGCTTATACAGAAACAGAAACTTCAAAGAATTGAAAACTTGAATTCCAAAAAAGCTGTCTCATTTCAAGGTTTCCTAATAACAAATAAACTGCAAAAAGAATTCCCAATAACTATGGGAAGATGATGACAGAGACACGAAAATAGGCAGGAACAAGAAAAAAATTGACCCTCCATTACCTAGTAGCTTAAAGGACCTAAACCAACATTGCTAAAGCTGCGCCCTAGCCCTAATCCTCCATTATATCTATCATTTTTGCAGTACTCTTTTTATCCTCCTCCTAATAGCTAAAATATGATCATCTAAGCTCCTATCCCTCCATTACATGTCTGTACAAAGAACCAATGAACCAAGATATGTAAAAACAGTAATAGAACAGCACCACAAACTGAAGAAAAGAGGCAGAGAAATAAAAAACAAATTAATGCTCAAGGAAAAGCAATTCCCTGACCCCTTTTCCCTCAAATGCGCTCTACCAAAGGCTTACTCTCCGCAACTGAATCTATCTGGCTGACTACTGAGGTTTTTGCCACTGTCTCCACTGCACCATTCTTCTCGTTGATCTTGTTCCTCATCTCAACAACTTTCTTATGAGAATTTGAATGCAGCGCTGGAACAAATGTAGGACTCGCAGCAGGACGATACTCTGGGAACAGACGGCCAGACTTGTAGCGCACACCACATGCGTTACAGAGTGTTTTTGGCCCCATCGGCCCAGCCCTCCACTGAGGAGTCTTAGTTATCTCACAATGAAGGCATTTCCTAACCACTTGCGGTGGTGAATTCTCATTCGTCTCCACTACCTTAGGAACTGTCAATTTGATCTTCTTCTTCTTCTTTTGCTCTCCTGCTGGAAGCGGATTGGCCAAGTTCTTCACGAATCCAGATTCCGCAATGTTCTCAGATTCTGAAGGTACTGCATAAGGCATTAATGGCAGCGGAGTCTCAGAGAAGGAAGAAGTCAGTGATATAAGCTGCATTGCCGAGCGAGGATTAAAAGTTGCAGGCCGTGGACGTTTACTACGGGCACGTTGTGCGCCACGGTGAGTAGGACTAAGAGGGATAATTTTCCCTCCAGAGCAGGAGCTGCTGCTGCTGCTGCTGCTGCTGCTCTCGAGCACCGAAACAGGACTAGAGGTTTGAAATTGGCTGGGGGGATACTCCTTCTTGACAATTGGATGACCTTTGCCGGTGAAACTCTGCCCTCCATAAGAAAAGGAGTCATCCGAAAACGTTGAAAGCCATTCAAGTTGAGCAATTTCCTCATACTGCAATACATTCAGCAAAAGAGAAAGTTCAGAAACCAAGAGAGAATACACAAGGAATCATAAAATCATCTCAAGAACATGTTAGGACAATTATAACAGACTTCAACATCACATGCGCCAAACAGATCTCCCATAAACAGCAGATGATGGTGTACCATCACTTTAATTCCAACTAAAAACTATAACCAGTTTCAGCCAAAAATACAAGTAAGAAGTATGATTTTGGTTTCCATATGAAGGATGGCATCACAATTCTGTTCAAAAAGACATTGACTTCATGAAGGAAGGCCTTGACATTAACCAAGAATGTGTTTTGGTGGAGCATGATGGTGACATTTGTTCTTCTTCTTGTTTCGAAATTCAAATGAATTCAATACATTCCTTATCAGGTCCAAGGACACAATTGGCCAATCTCATTCCAACAGCCAAAACAACAATCTAATCAAATAATTAAATGAAATTAAACAGCTCCTTATTTCCAGTCAACTTTTTCTAGGCAACAAACCAATCACATGCACAGAAACAAAATTAAAAAAACTCGAGACAACCCACTGTCGGCAACAGTAACTGCTCATAACTCAGTTGATTACCAACAATCAATATGGCGTCCCGGGCCATAAATCACTGTATTGCCACACAATTATTTGACTCTCTGACCCACAAAAAACAAAAAACCCAGAAAATAACGACAACATTAGTTATTACACTTGTACTATAAACAATTTTGGTCCCGTTTAACACAAAGTTCACATCATATTGACAGCACAATCACATTTTCCAGCATTGATAATGCCATCAACCAAAATTTCATCGGATAATGACTCAAAGGGCTCATCAGAATTTATAAGAAAAACGAATCATTACCGGAAGTGAGAGCTCAGTAGAAAGGCCAGACGCAGATAAATTATCATTGCCGGAGAAAAGAGGGTCGGCATCAGGCAATGGCTCATCCCAGAGGCTCGAAAAATTTTTGCAGTCACCGGCAGAACCGACAAGGCCGTTATTACTGGTGTCATTCTCTGGAGGGAATTCGATCAAATCATCAATGTGGTCAAAGAAGTTGCCACAGTCAGCGTCATCCATGAAATTCGGGTTCATTATTATTCTCTACAAGCCTACAATCTTCCAAAATTGTACCTGAAACATTTTTCAGAGTTCATAAGCATATAAATATATAAAAATATTAAAAGTTCAAATTGCTTAAACTTCAAAAAAAGGAACGAACTTTAGAGGGGGGGCCACCTCCACCAGTCCAGGGATGGTGGAGTAAATGATGTTTGGCCAACATTAGGAGGGGGGTTAAAATTTCAAACCAATTTTTTGGAGTTTTGCATAATAATTACGAAAAGTTGAAAAAAAAAATAAAGAAAAAGAAAAAGAAAACGAGATTCCCACCATCTTTACTCTTTCACACACACAGGCATGTGAGCATGCACCAGTTAATTGAGATTTTTTATGCCAAATTTCAAAGACTTTTTTTAAGAGAGAAAAACGTTAGAATATTTATGAACCATTAATGAAGGAACAGCAGAGTGGTACAAGGATCAAAACCTTGAATATTGCGCAGAAGAGCAATGCATAATTACAGACAATGAATTGAAACAACCCTTTATGAAAAAAAAAGCAGGGGTTTCAGACTTCTAGGGACCGGATTGAGACAAAGATTGAAACTTTATCTCACAAACTTCTCAAATGAAAGCACATTCTGTTAATTTGAAACTGAAGAAACCATAAAGACTCAAACTTTACGTGTCGGTGTCCCTTGTGAATGGTATGAAACCACTCACACCAAAGGGCAAAGAAAAAAAAATTCTCAAAATTTCTTTGAATACTTCATGAATTCAGAGACCCGGGAAAACTTTCAGTCACAGAAGTGGATAAAAATCAGGAGGAGAAAGAAGAGGATATATGCGAGTGAAAGAAACCTGAAACACTGCAAACTCTCCCGCCTAAAAATTGGCTTTCCTCCTATTCTTCAGCAGATAACTCCAGAAACACTAAATTCGTGCAGAGGAACAAAATTCAAGACAATCCCAGAAGAAGACTCCCAAAATTGGATAACTGAAAACCCAGAACAAGCCCAATTTTACAACAAACAAACAAACCCTTTAAATTTTGGGCACTATTCTTCCACTAATTAAACACTCATTCACACACAACCTTATAACACTCAGAAACTGAGAGGCTAAAAGGGCAAAAAAACAATACCTCTTGAACAATTATATAGTAAGCAATAAGGATGCAAATTCTGGGTATATATGTTTCTGAAATTTGAGAAGGGGAAGTAATGATTTTTGAAGGGGAGGAAAATAAACAAAGCTAATAAAAAGGGGGGAAAGGAAAGAGAAGTAAAGGGGAGTAATATGGTAGGTGAAGCTATTCGTTCATTGCTAGCTGTCTTTTAACACTCATACCCTTCACTGTCGTGATGTTTAAGTCTTCATTTCAATTCAATTCAATCAGAGGGAGAAAGGGAAAAAAAAAAAAAAAAACACCCACACACCACCTCTTTCATTTCTTTTTCTTTTCTTTTTTTTTTCCCCTACTTGTTTCTTTCCAGATTACACACAGTCACACAGTGAAGGGTCCCACGCGATTTTCCACCGCGCTCTTTCCCTTTTAATTTTCGTAATGAAATCTCATGATACGCACGTACGTACGCGTATACATTCAAAGTTTGGATATACGATTTTGGTACGACTTTATCATCTCCCCTACTAGTGTACACATATTGGATACATTGTGAATTGTCCAAGAAAATTAATTACATACCTAATAAAAAAAAGTAATTATTCGGAGATTCTTAATACCAAAAGTAGACGACTTAATGAAAGTAGGATTTTCGTGGCTTCTATAATTTTGTTCTTCTTCTTTTCAAAAAATTTTACTTAATTAAAAAAAGATAACTTAAGTTATATTTACGACACGACCTTAAAATGTACGGAGTCTTCAGTTTATATATTTTAAAAACGTGATTTATAGTATCGTAATGCAAAAGTTAATAGGAGAAAGTAATTTAATTGGTTTACGAAAATTGCTTGCGTGATATTTATTTTAGAACGTCACGTGAAAGAAGTTGGATTTTTCTTAGTGAGGTTAACTTTATCTGATTTTCGATAAAATTTAAAAAAAGACATGAGAAGTATTAATTCGAAGTAATAATGTGATGCTCATGCAAATCGAGAGTTTCTTTTAGTTTAATTGAATTAATTTCTTTGGTTAATTTGCTTAATTTATTATCGCTTTACTAATTGTATAACATTGATAAGAATCACTTCTAGATAGTGAAGATTTGAACATAACGAAATTATAATAAATCAGTAAAATTTAAATATTAGTATGATGGGGATTTAAATAGATGTTTGGATTTTCAAAAAAAAAAAAATTATAGTAACTTAACCGCGTGATTTTGAGTTCCAGAAGATGTGAATGGTAAACAAAAGAAAAATGACTTTTACTAGGTTTCTCGTAACGAGTAACCGCCGTTCAGTCTGAAAACGCCGGGAAGCAAGAAAAAACAAAGAGAAAGCTAATAGTACGTTTCTGGAGCCATACGGTATATATCCAATTATATTGCAACACGTCGGACAGTTTCACGTCAGTTTAGCCTATGTGGATGAAGCATTAGTTCAATTGCAATACGTATGTAGAAGTTATTTTCTTTGATTATAAATCATGTCAATAAATTAAGAAGAATGGCGAATGATTGTCGATTATATAAGGAAAATAATTTTATGATTTTCATTTCTTAAGAAAAAAATTATTTCAAAAAAAAATTAGAGACAAAATTATTTTAGTCAGTGATATAGTTTCGCATTAATTTTTTTTTATAAAAAAAGTAGTCCCTTGTTCCCGGAAGAAAAAAGGGGTTCAATTTATTGAATTTTTGTTAAAAAATAACGCAATATAGTTGGCTATTACGTATAAGACACAGAAAAATATCAAGCATTAGTTGCATCAAACTATACACTTAGATTTTATTAATCGTCAAACTATTGTGTATCTAATTTCATTGATATTCATATGAGTATTAAAAAGCATGGCTATTGATGTATCTACATACATGATACAACCAACGTAGATAAATTAGGGTTTATCTACACGTTACCGTTAACAACCAACAACTACCAATTAACAATGTTTTACCTTTATACTTATCGAATTCAATAAACAATGATTAGTAAAGATAAGATCATGATAGAGAAAGCACCCAGTGAATCAAACTGAAGTAAGTTTATGTCGACTGTCGAGCGGGGGATTCCATTACCATCTAAATTAATTTAATCCGAAGAATAAATTAATGTAAGCCTCTCATCTCAGGGAGAACACCGTTAATGTTTTTAACTTATTATGGACCTGCAAACATAATACACGATCTGATTGTTACCTTGTAAATAAGTAAAGCGGTATTTGTAAATGTTCAAAAACGTATATGAACTTCTACTATCACGCAGTGGATTCCTCTGGTAACTTGCATAAGCATCTTTAAAAGGTTTAAGAAACTGATCAAGAGATTTAAAAATCAAATGTACCTTTCTGGAAAAAGAAAAAATTCAGTAGAAAGATGGTGAATTAGCAAAAATCTAATTTTGTTTAATAGGCAAAAAAGAAAAGGGCCCGTAAAGCAACTCTTTGGGGCACATCATTAAGAATGCATTTTACTTTAGCTCAGCGGAAATATTGACTCCATTGGGATTTTTTTTTCTAACTTTTCATGCATTCATCTTTTGGACTTAATTACTTGAGTTATACTCTATGCATCATTCCTATCGACCATGTACGAAAATATCATCATAAAATTCGTTGAACATAAAGCTTCATGCAAAAACATACATTCATGCCCTTTTAACTAACTTGGATCGCACTCTTTGAATCACTTCCTTCTAAAAGACTTTTCCTGATACTTTGATTCATAAAGTATTTGGCTCAAAACCAAACCCCTTTAATTCCATGGTACACTGAATTGAACTTTCAATATTGTTACTCACCTCATCCCAAAACAAGTATCAATATAATTATTTGGAAACAGAGAAAGTGTAATTTTAATAGAGTGATAATACATACTTTGCCATCATATCGTCAATGTGGCTCACACTGTATTCTTGGGTGGAATTTCATACGTGCCAGATATGGTTTGGCTCTTCTCTTTTTACGTACTAGGGATACTTTAACAGCTTAACGACCACATTTAGTTTTGCTATACAAACATTTCTGTTTTAGGAATGATGAAGTTTGAAACGTGCGCGCACTTATCTGCCTAGCTAATAATGTTTAACAAAAACTTTAGAATAATTATCGGAAGAGCCCCTAAACATCTGGTTTTCCATTCCACGCCACAATGATATATCTCGCATCTACAATTTCAAAGTATTGAGAACCCAAAATTAAGAAAAATTATTCCATACACCAAGTGTATCTCATTTTTTAGCGCAATAATACACCCATTATACAGGAAAATATCATGGCTCCCTTAATTTTGTAGTAACTTTTCCGTAAAATTACAATCTTACCATATTTATGTGTGTGGCTGCACAATCCTACGTGGTACAGCAGCTGTATGGAGGATTTTCTCCAAAATTAAGCATTCCGCAGTTGTTTTTTGTTTACTCTCTCTGTCCAAATTAAAAAAGAAAGATTTAATTTTGTTAAACCAAAACACTACAATGAAGTAGACTATTTTTTTAGGACATAGTGGAAGGAATAACTAATGCCTAATGGAAATGACTGTCATCAAATCAAAATCAGCGTTTAAATCGTTGCATGGTATACGTTAATTAATTGAGTTTACTCAAATCTTGACAACATTAAATCGAGACTTGGGGGATTGAATTGCAAGTATTTGATGTTGGAGACTACATGAGATTTAAAATATCAAATTTCATAAGTGACTATTTAGGTAAGTTATTCAAAAAAAATAAAATAAAATATGGAGCATGGAATTTAATTGGGCAAGGAGAATGTAATTGCAAAAAGTGGGGGGTTTTTTTTTTTTTTTGTATTAGGTTCCTTCCCTTCAAAGATAAGATATAAAGTAGTTAAGGCATATGTACTCAACAAGAGCTTGAGATGTAAGTATATACTAATTGCTTAATTAGATTGTCCCGCTGGAAAATGCGCATCTATCTCTTAATTGTCTCCCATGGAATTGGAGCATGGCATCGACATTTTAAGTTGTAACCCACCCACGATATATATACCCAAAAAATATACCATAAACTTTTTGGGAAAAAAACAATCTTGACATCAAGTAGATAATCTAGACTGCTCACTTCAGTGTCTAAGAATTTTATTATTATTGATGTAAATATGTGTCGGTAAGCCAAAATTTTTTTGTTAAATATATGTCGGTAAAAAAAAAACAAATATGTGTCGGTAACGACTTTGATATAATTTGTACGTATTTCAAATTATCTCTTGATGTCGTATAAATTGGAAAAAGAAATAAAAAGAAGCTGGGGGGGTCGAGAAATGTCATTTTCGGGTTTTGCAAAAGTTTAGGGTAGAAAATGAAGAGAAAATGGAACTAAACCCAATCAACGCCGGAGTGAGATATACCTAATTGAAATCTGAACGAACATAATTTGACTAACGAAACCAAATAACAATTTTCAGAATGTTTTATTTATTTTTATTGCATGCACGAATTAATGTTTTGCGTGTACAATTGAAAAAGTAAACCGTAAAATTATAAAATCTCCTTTTTTTTTCGATCATCCAAAATTCCAAATTAAGTTAACGAAAGTAGTAATTAACAAAAGTTCATCAGTAGACAAGGGCACTTTTTTTAAGGACTACATAAACATATTCTTTTAGTTTAGTGTCAGTCTCAACTGCAAGAAATTAGAGTATGCAGTATGCACTTGGAGTCGGAGTATAAGTAAATATTATTCCGTCTAAAATAAAAGGTGGGATTTATTATATCATTTCAGTAAGCATGATTTTTTTTTTTAATTGTGGGTCGTGATGCAATTGTGTGATTGTCCAGCCCATTTTAGTTTCTAACAATTATTATTATTATTATTATTATCAAGCTAATTCGAAAAATGGTTGGAGTTGGGTTTGATTTGACAACAAAATCATATGTATAGTACTCAGACAGAACTTAAGGAATTATGGTTAATTGAAACAGTTTTCGGTCAATTAGATAGGAGCATCTTGTTACATTTGTTGGTCATTCGTTGTCTTCAAATTCTCACAATTTGCTGACTTTTAAGCCAGCAACAGCATGTTACTATGTAACAGGAAAAAAAAAAAAAAAAAACCCCAAAGAATATATGTGAAGAAGATGACTGCATGATTTGAGAAATGATGTGTTCCCAGCACTGAAATTTTGCATTAAAAGAGTATTATTTTGGATCGTTGTCAGCAACCAAGTGTGTGTGTGTGTGTGTGTGTGTGGGTGCGGGTGTGGGTTAGAGTAAGATATTCCCTTCCCCAATTGTTTAGTGATATGATTAGGTGTTTGTTGTCACGTA